TACCTAATAGCAGTTCCAAGGGCTCTCACCTGTAGTAAGTGCTTTTGTGGCATGCTTACAGACACTCACTCCATCCCTCTCAGTTCCCAAGAGCACTGAGGGAAGTTTCTGTGTATTGTTGTCCACTGTGGTGCTTGGATCTGGCCTGAGCCTCTTCTCTGTGCCTGCTGTTCTCACTTCCTATCCCTAAATCTGCCATGTAGGCTCATACATGACCCAGACAAGACCTTCTTTCTTTGCTCACAGAAAGCCTGCTCTGTTGCTGAGTATGTGGCTGTGTGCAGTGCACCTTCTAGGGTGAGAGGTATAGCAGCAGAAAAGCCAAATTAGCTCTTGTTAAGCTTGATTTAAGGAGCAGATAGTCTACTAGGGCCTCTTGTATAGTTTAAGACACTCAATTGCAACGAATGGCCAACCTACAGAGAACTTGGAAGTTACAGAGGCCAAACCACTTATTTAGCAGTCATTGCTGCAATCTTGAATCCGCAGGGGTGAACTGTGTTTGTGTACTGAGGTACTCATTGTTCACCTTCAGGAATTCAGTATTTCCTAACAACTGCCATCTTTGGGGTATTTTCTTATGTTTCTTGACAAATAGAAGAATGAAAGGATGGATTCCTTGAGTTTGAAATTGATTTAACAGAAAGGGGGAAGAAAAGGCAGAGTTCAACAAGGTAAGGGCATTGAGCGTGTAGGTGGGAGATGAGTGGCGGTTTTCAACCAGGAAGGTAATCCAGATGAGTTGGAACAAGTTTGTTTTCCTTCTGGAAGTCAGGGTGTTAGTGAGTTCAAAGTCAAAGAGGCAGATGTCTGCCTGCCTTGTTTGATGCTCCATGAAAGAGGGCAGTGGGCTGGGGCAGAGTGGGACAAGAGTTAAGGGAGTGTTAGACAATGAAGTTGAAGAGGTAATAGGGGATTGTAATCAGATGGGAACTTTAGCTTTTCCACACATCTGTAGTCCAGCTTACTTGTCTGAAAAAAAGTGATGCTATGCAGTAAAATCCTAGACTGCTGATGTACAGCTCTGTAAGCTCTCACAAATATACATAACCCTCTTGCCATCATCCCTGGCAAGATGCTGAGTCCTTGTACTGAGAGACACACTTGTGACTTAGCACTTCAGAAGGCCACTCAGGAGGCTCTGACTGGCAGACTGTAGAAAGGCAAGCTTAGGTGATAAAGGCAGAGTTCAGGTTCATACAGCTGTCAGATGTGGAGGAAGCCAGCCAACAGATCTGGTAGTGATCTCAAGGTAAAGTTTGATGGACTGTGTAAGAGAAAGGAAGGATGACATGATTTTGTCTTCTACACTAAAGAAGGGTGGAATACTTGTCACTTACTGAGCTGGGGCAGATTGCATGTATGCTTTGTAAGAAAGAAGGGTGGAAAGAGTATTAGTGATATTTTGGGGGCCTCTTGTCCCCCTGTATGGTTCTGAGGAGCTTGGTTATACCTTTTGTGCAGTGTCATCTTAGTTCGCTTTGTTATTTGTTCTTTGGTAGAAAGATCTTTCTAGGTTGACACAACTCCAGTTTCGTGTAGCTGTTTTCATCCTACACCCTGCTTGACTTATTTAAGAAACATGACTTGTAGTAGAGAGACCTATCATTAAGAGGCTTCTTTATTCCACCAAAGTTGAACTTCAGGAGGCAGTTTGGGTGTGTAACTTTGAGTCTTTCTCTCTTACAGTACTGTTAGATGACAACTACACTCTTGTGGCAAAAGAGAAACTGAGAGAATGCTAACATCAAATGGGAAAAAATAATAGTTGTACGGGAAGGGATATAAATGCTTTGTGTAACTGAATCCCAAGTTTAGCCTAGAATACATTCTAGAAAGAATATCTGAGATAGTTATCAGTTGCTCTCTATTGCTCAGTGATATGGACTTTTGCTTCATTACAGGTACTTTTTCTCCTTGTTTGGGTGAGTTTCATCAACAAACATTTATTTATTTTTTTGGAAGAATTTATCCAACATTAGATTCAGACCTAGTCTTGGGCTGGAACAGTAAATGAGGCAGGGGAAAAAAAATAAGGCTGTGTTTTGAGGGATCTGATAGTCAAATTTTGTTTGTTTGTCTGTTTGAGACAGGGTTTCTCTGTAGCTTTGGAGCCTGCCCTGGAACTTACTCTGTAGACCAGGTGAACTCACAGAGATTTGCCTCGCAAATCTTGCCTTGCAAATGTTGGAATTAAAGATGTGTGCCACTACTCCCTGGCTTGGAGCTGACAGTCTTTTTGAGACAGGGTTTCACTATGTAACTTTGACTGGCTTGGAACTCTCTATGTAAACCAGTCTGACCTCAAGCTCACAGTTCCTGTCCCTGACTACCAAGTGCAGGGATTACAGGCTTGTGCCACTGCTTCTGCATGACAGTCATAAGAACATATGTGATCATTATAGTTTTATAAGAAGAAAAAAATATATTAATGAATAAAGAAAGAATACAAGTGACTTTGTCAAGTTTCATTAGCCATTATTTTTTCCTTTCATAGTGCTAGGAACGATATTCCTAAATCACACTCCATACTTCTTTTTAAAAAATTAAAACCTAATATTTTATGCCTTGAGATTTTATACAATATATTATGATTATAGTCACCTCCTTTCCCAGCTCCTCCTAGACCTACCCCCACCTCACTACTACCCACTTTGTCTTCACTCTCTGTCTCTGTTTTAAATACATTAAGTCATCCTGGAATGCAGCTCGTACATCAGAGATCACACCATAAAGAAAATTGACTCTGCCTTCCCCAGTAGCTATCAAATGCCAGCAGGTCCTCTGTAGAGTGGGGAATGTGCCTCCTGTCCCACATGTTGGAGTTTTGTATGGCTTGAACTAGCACAGGTTTTATGCATGTTGTTGCATTTGCTATGAGTTCTTATGTGTATCTGCCTTGTTGTATTTAAAAACAAAACAAAACACTGTTTTCTTGTAATAAGCCACCATCTCTGGCTCTTAAAATCTTGCTTTCCTCTTCCACTAATACCTTTGGTCATTGAGGGGAGGAGTGTGATATAGAAGTCCCATTTAGGGCTGAGCACTCTGAAGTTTTTATTCCCTATGCATTGGCCAGTTGTAGCCTCTATTTATTGCTTTCTAATATACAAAAACCCTCTGATGTAAGTTGAGAGATACACTGATCTCTTGCTATAGCGATTAGAAGTTGTTTTAGTGCTAGTAGGTTTTCTCTTAGGACCTTTGACCTATCTTGCCATGGGTTCTTGGCCTCATTACCAGTGCCAGGCATATGGAGTGGGCCTTAAATTCAATGAGAAAGTGGTTGGTTGTCTTTATAATATGTGTGCCACTATTGCGCTATTGGGCACATCTTGATATATAGGTTGTTATTGTTGCTCACAGGGTTCACAGCTGGGTGAGACTAATGATTACTTTTCTTCAGAAGTGGTGGATGCATGCCTAGCATATTCCACGACCATAAAAGCCAGATAGCCTTTTTAAATATGGATTTTTTGATGTTCTTTTGTTAAATTTCTAATGAAAATACTGCATCGTTTCCTCTCTCTCGTTGTTTTCATGCACTCCCATTTCCACTTTCTCTCAAATTCGTGACCTCTTTTTCTTTAATCATTATTGATAATGTCTTAGTGTGGTTATTGTTGCTGGGATGAAATACCATGATCAATGTAACTTGGGGATGAAAGGGTTTATTTGGCTTACACTTCCACATTATAGTCCATCACTGAAGGAAGTCAGGACAGGAAGTCAAACAGGGCCAGAACCTAGAGGCAGGAACAGATTCAGAGGCCATGGACAGATACTGCTTTCAGGCTTGCTCAACACAGCCTACTCAGCCTACTTTCTTATATAACCCAGGACTTTCTTATATAACCCAGGGGTGGCACCACCCACTATGGGCTATGCCTTCCCCCATCAATAACTAATTCAGAAAGTGCCCTTACAGGCTTGCCTATAGCCCTGTCTTACTGAGGCATTATCTTTATTAAGGCTCTCTCCTCTTAGATGATTTTAGCTTTTGTCAAGTTGACATAAAACTATCCAGCACAGCTGAGTCTGTTTAGTATTACTTGTATGTATATGTTTCTAGAGTTGACACCATGGTATTGGATAATCAATCTGGGGCCTCTGAGGAAGACCAATTCTTCCTCTCTCAACTCATTAATTGGTTGTAGTTCTTCATATAAGAGTGAGGTCCCAACTGGAGTTGGAATTGTTCAGGTTTTGTTTAGGCAGCCATGGTGTTAAACTCCATGTTTTATGAATCAAGGGTATGGTGTCTTTAGGAATAGGATCTTACCATCAAATTTTGGAAGATAACTAAATTCAATGATAATAACCCGTAATATTTGTAGGCCTATGGGACTTCATTGGCCAAAGCTTACAAAGAATTCATTCATTCATTAAGGTTTTTATTTGGTAGCATGTGGTTATAGGTTTAGTGTGTGTGTGTGTGTGTGTGTGTGTGTGTGTGTGAGAGAGAGAGAGAGAGAGAGAGAGAGAGAGAGAGAGAGAGAGAGAGAGGTGGAAGGATGGAGGAACAGAGGAAGGAAGAGAGGAAAGGATGGATGGAAGGAAGGAGAGGGAGGGGGGACTTTTCAAAAAGAATTTAATCATTGCTTTTGACATTCCCTCATCTATCCTTTGCTCCTAGCCCCCTTAATCTCTTATATTCCATTTTTCTCTTTTCCCTCTTTACCATTATATTCTGTCTCTCCTTGCTTGAAAGAGTCCATGCTCCCACATAGCCCTTTACTAGTATTGTAAACTGTGTGGGCATTCCATATGAAGCATACATCTCTAAAGTTTAAAAATTAGCATCTGTATTTCAGAGAAAACATGTTGTTTGTCTCTCTGCATCTGAGTTTTTTCACTCAGCATGATGGTTTCAGTTCAGTCCATTAACCTGCAAATTTTATTTTCCCTAAGTTGAATATTATTCCATTGTATAAATGTACCACACGTTCATTATCTGGTCATCAGTTGATGGACAATATGTCTAGGCTGTTTCCATTCTCTTCTCTAAGATGAGTAGCAGCTGCAAACACCGTGCTGACCTGAGCTTTCGGAGTGTCTCCGTGTTACTCTGTGATATAGTTGGAAATCCCATGACTATAATCAAGCCAAAGCCCTTGGAAACATGGTGTTGTTTTCTTTCTTAGGGAGGTCTTTATAAATTATGCTTCCTTCATCACCTTTCTCACTGGCTTTATTTTCTGAGGCTCTAGAACTGAGTCTTTTGATCCTCTTTGCATTTCAGCAGCAAGTTTGATGAAATGGCATCTGATAGCAGGTACAGATGTGTATCCTATTCACCATAAAAAGGAGCTGTGCAACGTTCACATATGCATGTGTCTTGGTTTCAACCGCTGAGTGACAGAAGGTGCTGCAGTAACATGGCAGAAACTTTGCTGGAGGGTCCCACCTGATGTCTTCATGACCTCCATTGTAACCCTGGATTTTTGTTAAGTTTCTTTTACCTTGTCTCAAAAACACCTACATTGACCTCACAGAATCTGATAGTGAGGCTGGGCAGTACTGTTCACCTTATGGCCATTCACATTCACATTGACCCAATTGTCCATTACTGCTGTTGGAGGTGCAGTGCCAAGTGTGTCTTGTGTTTTGTGGATTTCCAGAATGCACAGAATTTAAGAGAGCTTGCAGGGGGCATCTTTCCTTATTGAGAAACTCTTGGACCAGGAGACGTCATTGTTCCTTGTGACCAAGTTTTCTTATAGGAATAATAGCACCGGGCAATAATAGCACCTTTCCATTTCTGGATCAGTGTTGCAAGTGGGATTTGGAACCTGGGGGGAAAATGCTTCCTTATGTCTTCTTTCTCGAGTATCTTAAAGCTGGTTGAAAATCCCCCCCCCCCCCGTCCTTCTCAGAATGCTAGTATGACTGCTTCCTTCTAATTTTATCAAATACAGTATGTCCAGAAACAAGACAGAACCATGTTGCTGCATGTGATTCCTGGCAGAAGTGGTGTTACTTCATCTCAGGACAAAACTGTGAGATTTTAAGAAGCAACATGATATGATTCCTTAAGGAAAGCAAATGGGATGCCTAGCCTGGCTGCCAGAGTCTCTGGACTTGGTAGTCCGAGGTCATGGCTAGTCATTTGTGATCTGAGGTTCCTGACTACAGCAGAACCCTCCCTCCCTCAGCTTGCAGAATTCTGGGTAAAGAGCCGAGGTGTGGTGGGCAGTGTTGCATTCCCAGGAGAGTCACATTTTCATGATATTTATTCACTCACATGACACAAGGCAAGCCCATGCACGTGTAAGATTGAGACAGATGTGATGCATCACTCACCAGAAGGAATTTGAGGGTTGAGGGGTAAGGTCCAATGACTGTGTGCCTGGGCTCAACTGTCTACAGGCTGTTCCAGGATGGAGACTGTGCTGGTAGATATAAATCTCCTCATATCACTACCTCACTGAGCTGAGGGACCTACTCTATCCTGCTGTTCCTTAAACATGAGCCCACTTCATCCTGGGGCTCACCTGCAGAAACAGTGAGCTTTTCTCACTTTGGAAACAGACTGGCAGCATTGAGCTTAAGCAAAATGTAGACTATTGCATTTGGTGGAGAGTTTAAATTGGACACTTCTAAGACATTTTTAGGTTTTTTTGTAGATGGCAGATTGGGGTAAAGTAGGAGAAGCATGCAATTTAAGAGCACCATTAGTAATCATTTTAACACTTTAGGATGTTTTAAGAATTGTTTTAAGAGGCTGGAGAGATGACTTAGCAGTTTCGAGTACTTCGCTCTTCCAGAGGACCCTGGTTTAACTTCCAGCACTTGTATGGCTCTTCACAACATTCTATAAGCCCAGTTCCAGGGAATCTAAGGCCCTCTTCTGGCTTCTGTGAGCATCACACACTCACATGGTAAACAAACAAACAAGCAAATAAGACATGTAAAAATTAAAAACTAAAATATAATAATTTAAGTATAGATAGATGAGAATTATGCCTTTTCTTTTTTCCTAGGATGTCTTTGACTCTCAGCATGGTTCTGGTATTGATCTTACCTTCATATAAAACTGCCTTGTCATAGTTTAAATGAAATGGCCCTCATAAGCTCTTATAATACTTGGCCTCCAGTTGGTGGAGATAAGGAAATATGGCCTTGGAGGAGGAGGTGTGACATTGGGGGTAGGCTTTGAGGTTTCAAAGCCTTTCACAGTGTGTTTCTCTTGGTGCAGATGTGGATTAAGATGTGAGTTCTCAGGTACTGCTCTAAGTCCATGCCTGCCTTCTGCCATGTCCCTGCCATGATGGTCAAGAACTCATCCTCTGAACCTGTAAGCTCCATTTTCTTCTGTAAATTGTCTCAGTCATGGAGTCTCTTCAGAACAACTGAAAAGTAACTTAGACATAAGTTCATCCAAGACTCTGCATTAATTGTATGTGTGTTTTATATGTCTATTGTATCAGCCACTTTTACTTGAAATTACTGAAGTTTTTTTTTTTTTTTTGGTCTTTGTTTTCATCTTTGGAGCACTAAGATCATGTATCCTTTTCTTCCCTGTGGTTTGGTTTTGTTCTTGACTTCTGACCTTAGAAATTGTGACTTTAAATAACATAAAGAATATCTAAGGTGACTTCATGAATTTAGTTCTTACAGAAATAACTTCTTGTGTGTGTGGTAGTATGTGAAGGCCCTTTATATATTCCTCTATTTAATAGATATTTATTGAACATTTATTGTATACTAACACTATTCTGAATGCTTGAGTTATATAAATTAAGCAAATCTTTCTTCTTGGAGCATACATTTCTAGTCCCCATGACAACTTTTCAATATAGATATTGGCTCAACCATTTTTCAGATGGGAGAAAGATGCTCCAAGGATAATCCTGGAAGCAGATGATGAATGTGGTCATGCTAACATAGAAGAATGTTGAATGGATTCTGAATTTAGTCAATAAATAGGGGGCTTCCTGGAATGTCTAAGTCCTAACTTGGCTCACAGAGGTGGGCCTAACTCCAGTCTGTTAGAACTGGAATCCTTTATCCAGAGAAGAGAGTACAAGTGATTTATCTGCATGGGAATGATAGGATCACCGCTAATTTTCATGCTAGCATGCCAGGTACATTATAATACTGATGTGATTATGTTGATTACATTTGTGCCATGAACTGAATCCTCTATTATAATTTCTGAAGAAATTGCTCATACATGTTAGCCTGATTGTTTTGATAGGAGAAAGAAACAGAAAGTGGAAAAATTTAGGTTAAAATGTTGATGGTGTGTTTTGCAGATAAAATTATATAAATCTTGTGATTATTAATGTACCAGACAATTAGGAAACAGTTAAATTTAACTTACATTAAAGACCTTTAAAAGACTTATTGAGATGAATTTGATCTTGTATGTATTTAGTGTGTGAAATAGTTTGAAGCCATCACTATGAGGGATCAAAAACCTAGGCCCAATTGTATATGCTTTTAGTCCTAGCTGCTTGAAAAGCTGATGCAAAAGGATGACTGGTACTCAGGAGTTAAATCAAGTAATTTGGAGACGGGGGAGGGGACAAAACCACACTCACGTTTTGTTTGTAACTTTCCTTGTACCTATTTATATCTCTGTTACCTACACTGTACTTTTTCCATTTCCACACAGTGATACATGCTTTCTTTCTTTTTAAATTTTTATTTTTTGAGCTTTATTTTTATTTTATGTGTTTTGACTACATGTACATCTGAGCATTTTGACTGCATGTACATCTGAGCATTGCATATGTGTGGTGCCATCAGAGGATAGGTGTTAGATCACTTGGAATTGTAGTTATAGGTGGTTGTTAGCCATCATGTGAATGCTGGGAATTGAACTCTGGTCCTGTGGAAGTGTGGATATGCCATCTTTCCGGCCCCAGTATGTATTTTCCATTGCTATGCATTAGGTTGCTTTTCTTAGAAGCTTTACACAAGCTAAGTCATGTAATATATATTCTTTTTGTAAATGAACCAGTCTGCCTTAAATCAATTGTAACAGTGAATTATGCTTCATTCATTGATATAACTCTTTGAGATCCATTCCTGTTGTAGCATGTAGCCATAGTTCACTGTTTAACTACCAAGTAGACTCGTGCTCCGTATGGAGATGCCATAATTTACCTACTTCTCTGCTGATGGACATTTTTGTTATTTTAGTTGGAGGGCTGTTATAATTAACACCTACCAAGTTAGCCTTTAAATGGACCTAGGATTTCATTTCTCTTAGTATCTAAGTGTGGAATGGCTAGATGTTAACGTCATCTGAAATTTTTCAGTAATACAGCATTCCCAGAGTGCCTGTTGCCTTTTACATCCCAGCCTGGTACTATGTGAGACTTCAATTATCTCATGTATTCAACAAGTGTTGATTAGGCCAGACTTTTTCTTTTATTATTATTGTTAAGAGTACGTGATTACGTGTGCCTGTTAGGGGATATATACCCACACATAAGTAGAGGTGCCAGTAGAGGTCAGAAGTGTCCAGTGTGGTTCCTAGGAACTCAGGTCCACTGCAAGAGCAGTATGTGCTCTTAACCATTGAACTTTCTCTTCAGCCTCTTGGCTAATCTTTTCAACTTTAATGTTTTAATGGTGTCTAGCGGTATTTCATTATTGGTGACAGATGATATTGAGTCTTTTTATGTCCTCATTTGCTTTTCATGTACCTTCTTTTTTAAAGTGTATAATGAAATGTTTTGCTCCTTTTATGCTGGCTATTTTTTTAATGCATATATATATATTCAATAAAAGTCCTTTTTCAACTATTTGGTTTGCAAGTATTATTTCTGAGGCTTTGCTTTGTGTGTTTATGCTTTTATAGTGACTTTAGAGAATAGAAGTTTGAATTTAGTTGCTATCCATATTATCCCTTGTAACTATATGTAGTTGCTTTTGCTATCACATTCCATGTAACAGAAGGTCAGGAGAATTTTTTTTCCCATCTCTATCCATAAATTTTATAGTTTGTGATTTGGCTTTTATGTTTCCAATCCATTTTGAATTATGATAGGAGTAGGGATGGGAAACAGAGTCTCACTGTGTACACTGGCTGGTCTGGAAGTCGATAGGTGAACCAGGCTAGCCTTGAACTCACAGAGATGGACTTGCTTCTTCCTCTGTCTCCCCAGGGCTGGG